CTCTGAGTTTAAATTTCTAAATAAACTGACTTCACACAGCTTGTATCTGAAGTTTTGCTCTAAGGAACAGCAAGCCCAAGGCATCTCTCTATACTTTCAAACTGTGAGTTATTTCTCCAGAGTGCAGCCCCCAGGAACATAATTCCTACCTGTCATTTCCCAAATTGCCGCACTCTTCTGGACGCAATGGGTGAGCCAGTTCTATCCTGATGGACTCTTCCATTTCTTGTGGTTTCCAGTTACTTTTCACTCCTTTCTGACTGACAGGCAGAAAATGAAGGTAGGAAATTGTTGACTGCTAGATTGCAAAGGCTTTGGATGCCATGCCCAGGACTTAGAGGCAGGAGAGATTCATTGATTGCTTTTGATCATGCTCTACAAGAAAAAACCAATGGTAGTATCGAGGGTAGAGTGGGAGGAAGAAATCCTGGAGTTGGCCTATAAGTAGAGCCAAGGCCCAAGGGAATGGTGTATATGCACTGCAATGAGGTCCTCCTGTGTGGGGTTGAGCTGTCCTGGGTTGAGGGCTGGCATGGAAGATATAGCAGAAGGATAGACAGATGAAGGAACTGGGAGACATGAGGAATATGGTGATAAGGATGGGGCTCAGATTGGATAGAGAAGGTAAATAAACCAGGAAGCAGAGCTGAAGGTCTGAAAGAGTTAAGATAGTAAAAAGGAAAAAAAATATATGGATTTGAGAAGTAGGGAAAGAGGTAAAACTTTAAAATCTCCATCTTCTTCATTACAATTCTTTGTGGAAGACTTGATGTAGAAAACATGGATACTAATCACTCAAATGAGGTTTGGGGATTATCTGAGGATTTCAAGAATAATTGGATTGAATATGCAATGAAATTCAATCCTGCTTAATTTGTGGGAACTAATTATCTCCTTATAAACTCTAAAGTGACTTTAAAGTCTAAAGTGAACCAGACTTCTATGGGTTCCACATAAATATTAATATGGGCCCATGGCCGTCAGCTAGAAAAATGAGGCCAGAAACTATAAAGGAACTGGCATAGGCAAATAAGAGTTTTAATAATTATTGAAAATAAGATCCAGAGCTATGACCCTGTTTATTAAGAATAATGCTCATTGTGGTCAGGAACAAAAACACACAGCATTTGAAAGGGTTGAAGAGGCTGCTAAAAATGTAAGTAAATAAATGCCCTCAAACCAAACTTTTTAAGCCAACTTTAAAAATAAATTTGCATCTTCAGCACTGCAAAATAAAATAAATAAACATTATTTCGTTCTCATGATTTGGGTAAATTTTCCTTTTTTCAATAACTTAACTTTTTCATTTTCTTCATGTTAGTGAACAACTAATTACTCATTTTCTTTTTCACTATTGAAATAATTTTTATATATAAAATCATAGTCAGAATCAATGCCAAAAAAAAAAAAAAGTTAGGAATCAGGTCTAGAAATTATCAAGGAGGTTTTGTTTGATTTTTTCCCCCTTGTATCCAATTATCATGGTTCTATATTTTCTGTTCAGCACAATTGCATTCATTTCCTTAAAAAATATCCAGAAGAAGTAATCACAGGCTCAAATAATGACAAACCAACATATGTATACAATAAAAATAGTTAAGTCCCACTGTATTGGTTGTCCATCACCATGTTGTGGTTGAGGGACAACAAACCACAAGTCCTTCTTGACATATATGCAAATATACATTTCATTTCCATGTAGCTGTGGGTCAGCTGTGTGGCTCTGTTGATCTGGATGGGCTTACTCCACTGTCTGTAGGTTGAACTGGTGGCTCTGAATTAGTCAGAACTTTATTCAGTCGGCTTAGCTGAGACTGTTCTGCCTTCATTGTTCATGAAGCTAGGCCACTGTCGAGTCTAACTGAGAATGCTTTTCTCATGGAAGTGGCAGAAGCTCAATTGCAAAAACAATTCTCAAAACTTTGCTAGAGGGGCTGGGGCTGGGGCTCAGTGGTAGCACACTTGCCTGGCATGTGTGAAGCACTGGGTTTGATTCTCAGCACCGTGTATAAATACATAAATAAAATAAAGGTCTATCGAGAATTTTTAAAAATATTTTTTAAAAAAAACTTTGCTAGAATCTTTCTGTTGCCCCTACTCCAATCTCTTCTTCTATTTTTGTATGTCTTAATTATATCATAATAAATATTTCCAAATGTTAAACAAAACTTACTGTTTTATTACTCAAGATGTTTATATTACAAGCGAAATTTTTATTTAGTTTTGAGGCTCTTGATGTCCAGTAAAGAATATGTTCAAATTTGAAGCTATTTTTTAAATCTTTCCTAGAATACTTGAAGAAACAAGCATTCATTTAGTAAAATACTTATTGAACTTCTTCTATATACACATTTATTGAACTCCTACTATATGTAATACACTCTATCAAGGACCAACAGGGTTTTTTTTTTAATGTTCATGACAGATAATCATTCTCAAAAATCCATAAACTTTATATTTTTAAGAATATTCTCTTAAGTTGGAAATAATAGAAGAATATTTGCCTCAAAAAATATCTGTCCAAGCTATTCTTGGGAAAAATCCACCTCGTCTATGAGTATCATGTTAAAAACTAATGGTTTGAAATGACCACATATGTGTTCTGGGCCCATCCTTCTATTGGCTTGCAATCTTTCTCTAAAAACTGTGCACAGTCTAATAGTCAACTTTATACCCCCAAGCATATTGGCCACAAAGTCCCAAAAGAAACATAAATGAAAGAAAAAGAACAAAACAATGATTGTGTATTAACCAGCAAGTCTAGCACAGTGACCCAAAATTGGCCAGTGTCCCAATATGAAAGACTCCTTGAGTTCCTGAAAATGGTTTGTTGTCAAAAGAATCTAATGTATATCTCTCAGTCTTGGCTCTGTACCTCGGTGCACACAACTTCAGCTGCCACATTTTCAATTCATTGCCTTCCACTTTCTAACCAAAAATGAGGATCCCAGCTATCTATATACTGCAGGGGATTTGCATTATTACCCAGTAACATATTGCACCCAGACATTCCTGGTGGAATACTGAATTGGTAACATTCATTCTAGTTCTTAAATACCAAATACTAGCTAGAGGTGATATTTGTTTCTTTACTCTAAACTCCTGCAGTTCATTTTGCAGCACAATTACACTTATATGTCAATTTGCATTTAGAGCAGTTTCATCAAGGTCCTGCCTTCTTTCTTCAATCATTTTCTTTCCTTAAAGGAAAGAAAAGAATCCATGAATATTTGCAGACACAGAACACCTACAGCACTGCTAGTGAAGACCAAAGTCTCAATAAGCGATTTCTAAATAAATTAGTACATTTCATTTCTAGTTCTAAAACAAATCCAATGAGATAAAATAATATTGGGTATCAAGTGAAATATGTAGCAGACACATCTGTCAACTCCACAGTCACTTCCCAATACTGTTTGCCATCTTTTAGAGCAAAATTTGCCTGGAGACTAAAAATGTCAGGTATTCACTTTCCCAACCTTTCTTGCATATAGGAGTAAAAAATCTAGCCTACACTGGACAATATGGAGACACTTCTGGAAAATTATTTCTTTGAAAGACATGCTTCTTGATGAAAGAGACAGGAGAAGGCCAGGCTCAGTACATACCTGTAATCCCAGCTACTCAGGAGGCTGAGGCAGAGGGATCAAAAGTTTGAGACCAGCCTCAGCAACTTAATGAGTCTCCATTTCAAAATAAAATTTAAAATGGTTGGGGGTATAGCTCCCTGTTAGAGCACCTGTGGGGTTATATCCCTAGTATCAAAGAGAAAGGGGGATGAAAGATGAGAGAGGAAAGAGAGATGCAGAGGAAAAGAGAGCTAGAACAAAGCAAAGAAGGAGGGTAAAAGAGAAAAAAAAAACAGAAATGGAGAGAGAAAGGCAGGGAGGGAGAGAAGATGGGTTAGGTGAAGAAGAGGAGCGACTAAGGTCCAGAGGTTTCCTACCTGCAGTCCTGTTTTAGAATCTGAATGTGAAGATGTGATGCTTGAAGCTGCTGCAAGCATCGTGCAGCCTTGAGAGGAAGAGTGAAGGAATCAAGGAGACACCAGCTTTACTTCTTGAACTAACCGGGACCTACTTGCCTCCGGCCTTCTCTTTATGTGACATTCTTTACTGTTTTAGCCATGATTAGTCAGGTATATCCAAAAGCATCCTATTTGACATAGAAGGCATGGGCTTGAGTCCTAGCTGTGCGACTTATTATCTATGTGACATTAGAAAAACCTCTTAACATGAGTCTGAGTCTCCATTTCTGAGTCTATCAAGATCTTACTCACAGGGATGATGTAACGAATGGAGAAACATTGAGAGCAGCAAAGGGCTATAAATAGTCGTTTAATTACAAGTTAAGGCTAAAAGCAGTCTCACGATGATTACTGACAGGTCATGCCCTCAGATCCCCAAATCAACAGGTAAAGAAAGGAATATCACAAAAAATAAAAAATAAAAATCTGCTGATGAACAGAAGCAATTAAATTTCACATTCTTGAGACTTATCTTCTTTCCAAAGAGAACTCTCAGAACCTTATTTGGCCAATCCTAAAAACTAGTATTTTTCATGCAATTGTACAGCATGATTTTAAATAACAGAGATTTTATTCTACTTAAAATACGTTGAAAGTAGGCCAAGAGACTTTTTTTTTCTGGAGCAGAGCAAATATGGACTAATTACAGTATAAATCCAAAGGCTCTTTTCCTCTGACAGGTTGCACACTAACTTACTGTGGGTAATGGCTCAGACACTTACTGTGGCATATAATTACTCACCATTTTACAGCTAAGTACCTTCTATGCCTTTGCCAAATGAAATCATGCAAACACTATAAAACAGACTTTAGGCAGAGCAAAAGATTCAGGCAAAGCATATATGTTTTATTTTCCAGTTGTCTAGTCTATGATTCAGGCTGATTTGGCCTTCTCAGTATACATTTGCGTGGGTAAACTTCAACCTGCTTAAACTCAGGCATGCAAACTAAACAGAAGACAGCTTAATCTTACCTTCAAGTAAGAGCTTAGGCGTAACAACTTCTTTCTAGTTATAATAGTCTGTAGGGACTATTTTTGTCTACTCAGTATTCATGCCTTCCTCTCTGCTTTCGGATAACACACTCTTTCCACTAACCACAGAGGGTGCATGTGACCCAAACTGAGTCAGTCACATACCACATCCTCTAGACCTCAGTGATTGCTTCAGGAATCTGCATAGGATCCAATGGAGCCAATCAGAATCCTTCCCTTAGCCTACCATAAGAATCCTAGAAGTCCACCTCCAATCAGAGAGAATCAGCTCAGCACCCTCTCCATTCCTGTTTGTTATGTTAGTCCTTGTTCCAGTGCTATAGCTAACCCAGGTCTTTCTTTTCTACTTGAGTTCAGATGAAAGCTGAATTCACCATCCACACTTTGTTTGCTACTGTTAGGGGAACAATTCAGTTGATCCTTGGTTGACCAGTGAATATTTGTCAAAAACCATCTGAATTGTCAACCTGTCAGTTATACAGAAGCTAAAAGCCTGACCCAAACAATGAAAGTCTGTTTTTGTGTGCATATTCTAGTGTGAAGCTTTGTATTTGCTTATGTTCAGAATATTGCCTTATTCTGAACATGCTCACCACTATGACTCTCATTACTACCCACGTACCAATGACTCTCACATGTGTACCTAAGGCCCAGTCCTCTCTTTTGAGCTCCATTCACATATACAAAATTACCCCACCTGTTTGCAGGACAGATGTTGTAAGACCCAGAGATATCTGACCCCACATGTTCAGATAAGGAGGAGATCATGAGACAGGAGGAATAAACATAAAATACCTGATGCTGACCTTGGGTTAAACTTGACCCCAGCCCTGAAGTATGGTTTGTGGGAGAGGAAGGAATTTAGATAAATGTAAGGTGAAGGGATTTCTTTAGTTGGTATGAAAATTCACCTAGATCTTGGTCTCTATCCTCCTCAAATTTCTTTTCATTCCTTGAACAGATATCTATTGAGTTCCTACTATGTGCCAGGTACTCTTCAGGGTGCTGGCAATAGAGCAATGAACAAAACATAAAAATTACTACACTCATATTATTGCTAGAAATATTTACTTTCTTCTCTTAATTCATAAAGAGGTCATCATGCAAGGTGAGTCCCTTTGTGATCAATTCCCTGCCAAGCTCCAGGACTCGGAAAGAATTCCAAACATCCTGTGAATACTAACACAGGCAAAGGCTATATATTTGGGAAAGGTCAGCAGGAAAGGAAGTCCTGGTTCCTTCATGTTCTCATTGTCCCCACAAAGAGACTTGCTGGAAGCTGACCCCCTTCTCACCCCAAAGTGATTGATTCATTTACTCAGTGCTACACATGCTAAATGCTGATATCATAATAACGTGTCTGCCCTCCAACAGGGACACGAGGTGAAGTATAAATGGAACTCAGCAAACCCACCATCACCACCGAGAAGTGTTGCCAAAGTATATTAATAAGTTTATCAGGATACATAAATACAGCATGGAACATTCTGTTGTGCCCTGATTTTATACAGATTTCACTGGTGATCCATTCCCTAGGGCGTTGATAGAATAATTTAAACCAGTACCAAAGTTCAACTACAACAGTGCACCATAAAAAACAAACTAGTGACAAGTGCCCACAAATGTGAAAGTAGCCCATTAGAGTTCAGTTATGAGCAGAAAAAAATATTGACAACAGAACACTAAAGTACAGAAAATTTACAGTGGAATTATGGTATAACTGAAAGAATGGGCAATTCTGCAAAGTGATATTTTCTACAGACCCCAAAGGTCTTACCCTTAAATAAGTTCAAGAATTTTAAAAGTTTGAATGGCAGTTCACCACACTTATCTCCTTACGTTTCTTTTTCTTTCCTTTTTTTTTTCTTCTTTTTTTTTTAACTGCATCTTAGTGCTGACAAAATAAAATAGGGGAGAAAAAAAAGTAGCGCTTTGATATCAGGCTTCTTACCTTTCCATTTGCTTTCAATCCCATTATCACATCTTTCCAGAAACACACAATAGTGGGCAAATCCCTTCCTTTATCTTGAGTTGGTTTCCCTGCATATTAGCTGTCAGCGTAAAATTATTGTGCCTCCTACATGGGGACTAAAATTCCAAACACTGCTTATTGGCAAATTTCTCTATAGTTCACAGATTCCTCAAAGAAAATGAATTTTCTACCTCGCTCAAATTAATTACAATTGTTACAAAAATGGAAATGCATCTGACAGCTCCAACAGAAGCCACTGTGGGCTTTGTTTCCTTTTCATTACATCAAGCATCGTGTTCTCCAAAATCAATTAGAATCACATCACTCTCCTAAAGAAATGGCCACGACACATGCAGATGATAGAAAAGTTAGGGGATATTGGAAAGAGGGGCCACAGGTTTGAGGATTGAGGGGCGTCATCTGGTATTCCATCTAACCCTCCCAAGATGGGAAGTTCCAGGGTGTTTTAGTTAGTATTTCTGCCTAACAACCCACCCAATACACACCTGTGAGCCGTCCATCACTTTAAGTTGTCTATGGACAGGATGGTCAGTAATGGCTTCAGCAGGGACAACTCTTTCCCATATGGTCTCCCCACCTTTCCTCAGCTAGCCCAGGCTTATTCTCATGGTGGTACCCCAGAAAGAATGAACACACGCAAGGCCTCTCCATGACTGAAGAGGATTGGAATTAGCACGCCATCATGTACACTGCATGCTATTCGTCAAATATGTCACCAGTCAGCCCGGATTCCAGAGGTTGGGGAATGGACTCAACCTCTGGGCAAGGAAATCTTCAGTCATATTGCAAAGTTCTTAAATGTAGAGGTAGAAGATGAAAGTATTTTAGCTGTAAATCTACCACCCCTGGGCTATCCCTGGTCAGCCTACCTGGGTATTACATGTCTTTCTACCTGGCACATCCTTGGGGATCTTGTTCTTGCTGAAATGTATCTTAACTTGAAGATGCTGTTACACTCTAACTGGCAAGTCAGAAAAAAAGATGAGGAAAAAAAAAGAGAAAGATACTGCCTACGACTGCAGGACGTCATTGGGCTTCACAGCCCCCACCAATAATATGTCCAAAACCTTTGCTAGGCAGCAAACTTCCCCGCCCCTCAACTTTCAAAGAGGCCATGTGCTTTGCTTCTACCAATGGATTGCGCCACCAGAAAAGAATTAAAATGTGCTTATGCCTTAAGTTTATACTAGTGCACTTAGGCCATTGCTATGAGAAAAACAGACCCTGGGTAGACACTTCTACTTTGGCATGAAGCAGAACCAACCTGGCCCAATCCACAGGTGCATGAGGCAGAAACAAACTAAAACTGAAATTGTGTGGCCACTACACAGCAAAAATTAACTGATAAATTGAATTAAAAGAGTAGGTGAAGGGGCTGGGGTTGTCAGTGGTAGAGTGCTCGCCTAGCATGTGCAGCGCCCTGGGTTCTATCCCCAGCACCGCACAAAAATAAAATAAAGGTATTGTGTCCAACTACAACAAAATATTTTTTTTTAAAAAAAAGAGTAGTTGGAGGGAAGGGGCAGGCAGTGGGGAATGTGGGTTGTACAGGCAGGAACTCAGCAGAGAGGAGATGGAATCGCTGTCTTTAATTGAATTTAGTTCAACACACGAATTTTCTGAAAGAAGTTGTGCAGTCTTTTTTTTTCTTCACTGAGCATTACAAGCTTTGATCCAATAGTGTGTATGTGTGTGTGTGTGTGTGTGTGTGTGTGTGTGTTTCATTTAATAATAGGTATTGGTTGTGGCCACTCATTAGGGGAGAACTTTGCATTATTTTTATTAGCATAACAGAAGGCATTGGTGTTTGCTCAAAAAACTATCCCATATTCCCCCATCTGTGAAATGGAGATTAACATGCTAAAATAGCTCAAAGGTTTTGTTTTTTGGTTTTGGAGGGATTTTTCCAGAGTAACAGGAAAAAATTAATTGAAAACATTTAAGAAATACAAAGCAATATGAACATGAAATAATAATTATTTGTGAAATTGAAATGAGAATTGTTGTGCCAAGAATCTTGAGTGAGATTATAGTCCCATTATTTGTGTAGAACAGCTAATAAGAATCTTCATTAAAATTTTAATTTTCTACTGACTGACTCCTTACCAGATTAAAATTATAACAAATCTGTATTAACTCTCATGAAATGGGATGATATTTAGTGAAACTGAATCAATTTCCTTCTGAGATATGGTTGACCAGAATTGTCAGAAGTCACATAACCATTAAAGAAAGATTTGGTGCTTCCAGCTAGAAAGGAAAAAATGCTCTCGACCCATCAAATAAGCTACAAAACAATGCTAGGCTTGGGTCTCTCGAATCATGGCTGGAAAGCTACCTAATGTGATATTTGCACTACTGTCACTTTCATTTTCTGTTGAACAACTTGTCCTTACTGGTAATTATAGTAACAATAGTAATAGCTGCTACTTGTTGAACAGCCACTATATGCCATGCTCTTCAGATATATACATAAAATGTCATTTCAACACCTACAGGTAGTGTTCTTCATACAAAGTGGATGTCAATAAATCCTTCATGAATTAATGAATGCTTGTAAGGTAATTAACTCTTTCTTACAGGTGAGAAAAAGGGAAGTCAGAGAAATTGGGAAGTAAATTACAAAGCCAAAATCTAAAGAAACTTCTTTTTAAATCTAAAGGCTTAATCTTTCTGTCTCACTTCTTTTCCAGTGTGGATCTAATGTCCACACTGTAAGCAAATTACTCCTGAGACATTTCTGGTTTAAGCCAGGGTGGAGAAGTTCCCTACAGTAACTTTGAGTTACCCTGGGTTCAACAGTGCCATGCAAGGTAGAGGTGGTACCTGTGGACTAGATCAAGGTGACTTTCTCTACAACCCTCTTTGGTTCCTTTGAGGCTATGCCATCTGAAAATCAACTTGAGGTAAGGTATTCTCATGCTTCCAAGCAGAGGTATTCAAAAGGGCACCTGGCTTCAGGCCTGCAAAAGTACCAACTTGCCCTTGTTCCTCTTGTTCTACTGAGGCCCCTGTTAACCAGCTCCAGGGAAATGTATGGGCAAATCAGGCTTCCCAGGCTCCCTTTCGCCTCCTGTCTGATGTCCTTCATATACCTGGCTTCCCAGAACACTCCCC